TAAATTTCAGTTTTCTATAGTTTAGAATAGAATAGAATATAGAATCGCAAATTGCACACTTTCTCACTCAAATTAAAACTAGGGCGGTTGGTCATGACGGAATCCATATCAACTTTATAATTTTTTGTTGCCCTTTCATATTAAAGTACATATTTCATCTTGTAAATTTTTGCATCACCCATTCTGTTTTTCCCTCTCTTTGGAAAGTAGCTAATATTGTCCGAAGATTGACAACTCGCAATCGTTTAGCGACTTAAGGCCCATATCTATTCTGCCAATATTATCCAAGATTATAGAACGTGTCCTGAAAAGCCAAATAACAAATTATGTCGAAAAGGAGAAACTAATTGACAAAACACAGGCCGGCTTTAGGAGGGGGCACAGTTGTGCTACAGCGTTTCTTAATGTGACAGATGACATTAGAGGAATTGATAAAGGCAAGCGCACTGTATTGGTTCTACTCGATTATTCTAAGGCTTTTGATACCATTAGTCACAATATTTTGCTCACTATTCTTAAATACTTAGGTTTTGGGGAGGCATCCGTAAATTTAATTAAAAACTACTTAACAGGGAGAAAGCAAAAGGTGGTCCTGAACCGGGTCGGGTCTGCTTGCCTTGACATAAGAAGTGGAGTTCCTGAAGGCTCAATTTTAGCTCCTGTTCTGTTTATTATTTTCACAAAAAAATTCTAAGATTTTCTCGGACATTGCAAAGGACAGTCATATGCTGATGACAAGCAGCTCTACCATGTTTTTGACCCCTCTAGGTTGCAGCTTGAGTGTCAAAATATCAACAGTGACTTTGAACGAATTGACAGAATTTACAGAGATCAAGGTTTGCTTTTAAACCCAAAAAAATCTTCTGTAATGTTTTTTGGTCGGCCGGTGGATGTTGAGCGTCTTTCTTCTGAAGGAATCATAAAAATAAACAATATTACCCTTCCACTTCAAAACGAGGCAAAAAATTTGGGGTTACTTTTAGATACAAAACTTCGCTTTGAAAAGCATATCTCGACTTGTACGCAAAGGGCTATTGGCCGTTTAAAAGGGTTGTATAGCTCAAGGCATATTCTAACTCGAAATCTTAAAAAAACCTTGTGTGATGCTCTTGTTCTCTCCGTGTTTAATCACTGTGATGTCGTATATGGGCCTTCTTTGGCACCTAATTCGCAACAACGTATTGAAAAAATTCAAAAATACTGCTTGAGGTTCATTTGCGGCATCCGCCGAGGAAGACCTATCAGCTACAAGCTGAAGGAAGGAAGCGGGTTGGACGAACATGAAAACGCGGCGCTTGATCTATCGCTGTTGTCTTTATTTCATAATAATAATCAAGACAAAATATCCCGAATACTTCTCCGAAAAAATAACTTTTACAACAGACGTGAATAACTTAAATCTAAGAATCTAAGAATTTAGTTCTTCGTCACCGATCTGGTATATTTCATTTACGACTTGGCTAAACTATATAATGACCTGCCCCATTCCGTTCAGAATGCGACAATAAATTCTTTTCCAAATAAACTAAAAAAAATGTTCTACAATTTAAAGAGAAAAAAAAATGGAAAAAACATTGAGAAGTTACAGAACGCAAGAAGAATCAAACCAATGTGCTCTGCTAGAATTCTTTAAAAATTTGTGGTTCTTACAGTACTTTAGCTAATAGTTTTTTATTATTTACAGAGGTAGGTTCAGGTTTTTCTTTCTGTTATACAATTTAGTGGGTACTTAACGCAATTGAAACATTAATTAAAACCATGGTGTGATGTATGTGTAAGGATAAGTGTAGAAATCGGCAAGCAGATACGTCTGGGCGCCGCACTCTTGCCTTTTCTTGTAATTTTCCTGGTCGAAATTACCCGAATAAAGTATATTATTATTATAATAAGAAAGAAGTAAGAAATGAGCTAAAACAAATGAAGAATGGTAAGGCTCCAGGGCCGGGAGACATTCCCATCGAGTTGGTGAAACACGGACCGGACATACCGATACATTTTCAACAAATGCCTTATAGAAGGACATGATATTCCGGAATATTGGAATCTAGCACACATTAGCTCCATCCGTAAGAAACGAGACAGGAAAATATGTGGGAATTACAGAGGGATTGGTGTCACTAGCTAGGTAGAAGGTTGTATGGTCGGAAACTGAAGAAGCGTATTGAACTGGAGTACCGAGACATCGAAGAGCCGAGCGGCTTCCAAAGAAGAGGGTCCTGTATGGACAAATTATAGAAAAACGTGTTGCTCGTAACCTCGCTATTCATCTTGTCTTAAGAAAGCCTACGACACGGTACCCTTAAAACTTTTATTCAATATTTTGACGAAAACGACATAAATAAAGGATATAATAGAGTCCTACAGAAGATTTACAAAAATCCACAGAGTGTACTTAAGACCAAAACGAGCTTGTCAGAACCATTTCGGGTGACAAAGGGTCTTAAATAGGGATGTTGCCTTTCTCCTACCTTCATTAAAATTTTTATTCAAGAAATACTACAAAAATTGAGACAAAAATTCACAGATATGAGAATAAAGGTTGGCGACCACTACTTGTCAACATTATTCTTTGTTGATAAAGAGGTACTAATTGCAAATGGCTAAGAGATATAGATTATATGTTAAGGAAACTACAAGATGAATATAATCTAGCGGGAATGAAAATGAACATGGCCCAAACAGAAGACATAAAGAAGACGAAGATTCCGACTTGAGGTCAAGAGAGGTTAATCAATGCGAGAAGCATAAATACCTAACAAATATCTAACAAAGGCTCATCGGTACAAGACATACAACGCAGAATACGACAGGGATAAACGAGTGTACGAGTTTTGAACTTTGGTCTAACCAAATATCTACAAATACAAAATTAACAATATGCAGAGCAAACATAGAAGCAATAATGACAAACGGATCAGAATGTTGGGAGCTAAAGAAACTAACGAGGAGGAAAATAGATGTTGTAGAAATGGTTTTTTTCAGGAGATCATGTCTTATATCAAATCATACCAAATGACGAAATTAGACGCCGTGCAAATCGAATACACAGAACAATTGAACGAATTGACACAAGACAACTGGTATCGTATGGTCATGTTAGACGAATTGAGGAAAATGGATGCCCAAGAAAAGCTTTTTTAACATGTTTCACTAAATAAAAGAAAACGAGGGAGACCAGCTACCACATTGCTGGATGGAGTTATGACAAATCTAAGGGACCGGGCAACAAATCAACATGTGGCGATCGCAATGCGGGATGCGGTAGAAGCTGTAGGACCACTCAAGGGATAACTTTAACTACAGACTGGGAACAATACATACTAATAAGCCAAACCGAACAAATGACATTAAACATTTTTAGCGTTACCTTTTGTGTGCACCAATTAACTATATCATATTGATTTAGAATACTATTGTATAAGTTACCCAGCCTATTGATTGATGACCTTTTAGCATAAAGTGTGAACATCTCTCAAGCCGAAACCCTTTTAACAATTATATTGTTGCTCTAAAGATTGCGCAAAAATTATTCTCAAACTACTTTCTCGGAAAACCCAATTTCAGAAGTTTTCTTTGAGTTTTTTCTAAATTCAGAATATGGTCACTATAGTACAGCGACCACAGTACGAATTCTATATGCGGTACAAACAAAAGCTTTTGATAAAACGATATACGCTGGTCTTCAAATTTTATCGTTTTCGAAATAAGAGTAGTTTCAATTTGGTAATCAAATTAGATACGCCTTACGCCTAAGAATGAAGGAGACAATATTGCATTTTCCGTTATTTAAAGGCAACCTATACTCAATATTGAAGCTTAATTCGCTTTTGATTTCACAGAATAACTTACTATTATATTCTTACAACTAAAGTATGTCAGACTAAGTTATGGGTATGTGTTTAATTTGAGGATATTATTGGTAAACGAAAGATCTGACATTTTCTCGTCGTTTGTCGTATAAGTTCACATATTCATGCCATTGTCGGAAATGATGTATCGTGGGCATAAGGTGGGAATTAGAAAATTATACAAAATACGAATATAAATTGTGAAAAGTAGAGAACCCAGAACGGAGCCTTAGACGTACGCCCCTGTTAGCGATCCTCAGCTCCGAAAATTTGGTATTAAAGATGACACACAATATCAAATATTTACCTAATGAGGCGTTAGGGGAGCCCTGACCTGCGCAGCTTTTTTATGAGAGACGTAGCTAAAGCCCTAGTGAGGTAACACATACTGAGTGTAGCTTGGTCCCACTTCTCCAGGGTTTGCATAAGTCTCTCACAACTCTGGGCATTACAAATGTATTTAAAATTTCTGATGATCGTTTTGCCAGAAGTGCCTGAAAACTATTGAGGAAACTCGATAGGGAAGTTTGGATTGCTTTTTTAAAATATTGGAATCACCTTTGAGGCCTGAAACTGCCCAGGAAAGTTGCCGTCATCTATACATTTGTTAAATAAATATGCGAGGAGTGTTACAATCACATTAATGTCTTGAAATTGTATACATGTATTATATTAATTTTATTATAACTGGAAAATTATCCTCTATCTTGTTATCCACAACTGCTGTCATTTTTTTGGTACTTTTATATTATAAAACAAGGTTCTCATTATCTGTATCCCTGAGATGCAACAGGCGTTTGACACTTTTGATTAGTTGTTATCAACTCCAAAGCACAACGCAATCCACTATATCATGATATTTAAAAAAATTGTACTCTATCCGCTTCAGCTTGCGACTAACGACTCGCCTTCAAAAAAGCCGTCCCATGACGACAATGTAATTAGCTCCGCCTCTTACGCGGGACCCTAATGGAGCACTTTTCCCACTTTTAGCGCTCATCGTCAACTTTAGTGGCGTATCCCAGCAAACTTTTGGCCTCCGGGGTACGTGTTTCGTCTCGGGTGCGCGGCAACTTCTTGATCTATTTTCGCGATTACGTCGAGCCAACCAATCCCCTTCTGCCCATAAGATTGTTATTCTTTGAATTTCAGAAATCAAAGTCACCCCAGGCAGCCCTCACGACAGTCATATGAGTATCGTAGGCGGTAAGTTTGGAAACTGCTGTCTTTTAACTTGTATCGGAATATTCAATGGATATTATATTTTTACGTTATTTTTTCCAAGCAGGTCTGGCAGAACCTGCGAGAGGTCACATCACCAACCGGTGTTCCATCACAACATCGTCATCTACTCTCGTCGTCATCGCCTATATTTTGACGGTAATGGAAAGGTGACAACCTTAAGTTCGTTTGGAATAAATCCTGTAATAACGATGCATTTTGTAGTTGTACAAGGGTTAGATGATTTAGCTGCGTTATTTTGGAAGGGGGTGTTTCGTATTTGTGGCGGACGCGCCGGGATATTGGAAATTACGTTTTTCTTCGTGGGGCGACTGTGATAATTTTCTTAGGCCCCGGCTCAATTGTTCAAGTTCGTCGACAGCATTAAGAGTTGTATTAAAATTAACGGCCAAATATTAGTTCGTTTATTACAAAAGATTGTATACGACTCGCAGGTTTGTTATTGATATTGTTAAAATAAATCCTGTACATTTTGCTCAGTGCCCGCTCCTAACCGAAGAGTTGTGAACTATACATATTTGTACATAACGCGTAACTCCGTTAGTGTACCTACTCGTGTTAGTTGTAAGTATCAAGTTCAGCAGTTGTATATACGTAACAGGTGACCCAAACTTAACTTGCGAAATTTTACCGTGTTGTTCAAATTTCGACGCTATAGTTCAGGACAGTGTCTTCTTGATGAAGGATTTCTCGACCTAATTAAGAGATGCGGAACACAGTGATGTTTTTCTACGTTAAGTTCGGATCACCCTATTAAATATAGTTTCTCTACCGTGTGTCTACCGAATACTTAGGCGTTGACTGGTATGTTGTAAAATAACATCAGCAAGGGTTTTCAGGCCTAATTCATTTGCCCTTATGCTCAATTACTATTGTCCTGTATGTATGTACGGGTACAGTCGTAAATACCTATTGACATGTTTTCTTTGGTGTGTACAGGTTCATTTATACGCGGTGCCGCATATAGGACGCCGCATCTTTTGAGCGAATCTTTTCTATAAAAGTTCAGTTTTAATTTTAGACTCCTTATGGCTTCTCATCCGCAAATCGATGTATAAAACGCAGGTGTGCAGTATTTTCTATAAATAAATTTTTTTTGAATGACTGATGTGTTTGGAGACTTTCCTCTCGTCTATTCGCGAATTTGTTCCCCGATGGTGGCGCTGCTAACAGTAAACAAACAATACGATAAAAATACCTACCAAACTCTATATACCTCCATGAGACCGACTACAGCGAAATCAGACACACACAGTACTAAATCTAAAATCCAAAAAATCTGAATTTGATGGTATATGGGCGGAAACACTCAAAGAGTAGATTTTATTGTGAAACCCCTCAAAAATTGTAAAAACGGCTATAGTTCGACCACTGTATAAATCTGGCGACAAAACAAAACCAACAAATTATAGACCAATCTCCTGACTCTCAAACTTCGCAAAAATTTTTGAAACAATAATAAAAAAGGGATTGTTAGCTTTTTGAAAAATTTAATCCACCCAAGATGCCATTACAAAATCTATAAATCATTGGATATAAATCTTAAATCACTTTGCATTTATTTAGATATTAAGAAAGCATTCGATAGGGTAAATCAGAAGAAGTTGATTGACGTTTTGGTAGGTATTGGATTTAGGGAAGTAGCCTTAAATGTGTCATCTAAGATGGTGTGCTTAGTTGTGAAAGGAAGGTTGAATATGGGGTTCCACAAGGAACTTGTTGAGTCTCTTTGTTCCGTACTTTAACGATATGTTCAAATGAGTATATTTTCAATTTTACAACTTTTCAAAAACTGTTTTCCTCCCATTCTGCTGTGATTCGCGTACCTTTCAATAAAACACCTAAAAATGTTGTATAGTGCATTAGCTGAAACACATCTCACATACGGTCCCTTGGGGTGGGGTGGTTGGACTAATAACTACTACAGAAAAATTGAAAGCGGAACCTTTGACAAGCTGATTCTACTTGCATAAGCGGTAATAAAGCAGTATTCGGTTTATACAAAATGATATAAGAACATCTTTATTGTACATGTAATTTTAATTCGGTGTACCGCAGGGACCGATAAAGGGCATTTTTATTATGTTTTTAATCAACATAAACTATACAATATAAACTTATTTCCGATTTGGATTAATATGTTTGCAGCCAGGAATATCATTCAATTGTAAAATGGCAACAAATACCTTACCCGTAACTAGTAGTTTTTGTTGGCCCCTCTACATTTGAGTAGTTCTAAGGTTAAGAAAAAACAAATTAAGTTTTTATCCCATATTTCAGCGGAACCGATAAAATGACCTTTTTTATGAAATAATAAACAAGGCTTCATAACTTTCTTATACCATGCTTTTAAGGCATACCTTGTGCATTAATAACTATGTAATCTACATATGTGACCCTACAACTTCTGTACTAACCCTTTTCACTAAAACGTAAAATAAAAAATGGGGGTGGGGGCTAAATTTACAATGGATCACTAAGGGCAACTCTACATTTGAAAAGCAGTTTGGAATAAAAACCTCATTTTTTTTAACGTTTCCTTTAATGGGGTGCCGAATTTTACACAAAAACTTACCATAAAAAGTGGTAATAATAGAATAACAGTCGTGTGCTAAGGCACTCTGAAATTACACGCTAACACATATATAAAACCTTAAAACAAAATGAAAACAAAACCTCTTACGCGTTCGGTAACTATCATTTTAAAATGCTAACAAAAACAGAATTCTCTTTAAATTTTTGGTTATCTATCTGCTCTACCAACCCTGCGTGTAGTCAATTATAAACCCCTTGAGAACTAAAAATACCTTACATGATAATAATCAATAACATATACACAATAACTAGATACAAAATATATGCTCCTTTTCTAGGGAATGTAGGAAGTCAATGCCGAAACTGTTGAATCGTTTTTCCAAAATATAAATTTACTCTAATACTGTATATGAGCTGCAATTCCATAGACAATCTTTGGCAGAAGAAATGTTCACGACGCAAAACGTATTGCAGTTGTCGTCTCGGACTCATATTTTGACTTTGTTGAATCACGCTCACATTTAACATTTATATAAAATCTTTTACACCGAATCTCGAAAACGTCAATATATCAATTTCATATAAGTAATTGTACTATAAATGTTTCAAATTTTGCAACACCCAACATATGTTCAAAAAGCCGCACACATTGGTCACCTATAAACGTCTACCGTAAAAATTTAAAACGTTTTAATATCTTAGGAACATGCTGGTTTCGTTTTGCCGAGATAAATTCTATCGAAACAACGGTTAACCTCGAAAATCACTCTGCTCTAACTCTTAGCGGAATGTAAACAAAATTTACGAAAACGTGCTCGAATCTTACCCACAAACTGAACGAAAAAACGGTGGCTTCTTGATGAAACGAACCCAAAACAATAAAGCGGTCGAAAAGGAATGTCTCCGCATAGCTACGACATTGTCGCACGCTAAATTGCACACAACTGACGTTCACCTCGCGACATTTTTTAAACAGCGATGTACACTCATTTGACAGCCACACTGAAAACTGTCCAATTCACGAACTGTCAGCGGTAACCAAACACAAACAAAACCAACCATTTAGAATTAGGCTAAACTGCAACTTTTCACTAGCGTTAAAATAAAAAGGTTTGAATTGGTTCTTGTTCTCGACCTGCATTTGGATTTGTTATTTTGGGTACGAATTGTTTTGCAGACAGGTAGGTAAGCATAGTATAATAAAGTATTTTTATAGATAGGGAATATATCCTGAAATGCTAGAGCAATTTAATAGATATACACTACTGGTGAACAAAAAATTATTAAATTTCTTACTCGGCAGTTTATGTAAAGTAGATTATTTTTTGAGAAAGCAGTGGAGTGTGGAAGAAATATATAGGACCCAAAAGATGCCAACTATAAAAATAGACTTAACAAGCGAATTCATATACAAGAATTGCCTCGGTTTTTGGCAAGAACTAGCTAGAAATTAGAAAAATAAAGGGATGGAAACCAAATCAAAACTCGAAAAAAACATAGTTCGTTTAGTGGAAAACCTGTCCAGATTGTTGGCACCAACTGGCTGGAAATTACAAAAAAAAATAGAACGATCGAAAACAAAAACAAAATTCAAACGTAGAATAAGAGTTCTACGTTTGTCATTATCTCTTGGTCCTTTTAAAAACCCGCTTTAGAAAATGGCGTCGCTGTTTAGAAAAAAAAAACGAGTGGGAAATGGCGGAAACCTTCCTCCCCGCCGACCAAAACAAACAATAAATAAACTATCAAATTAAATACAAACAGCAAAAAAAACGACTAACTTTAAACTATTTCTCAACAATAACAAACAGTATTTGGTCCCTTCATCACAAGCCGTTCACGCTGACGTTGAATTTCTCTTTAACCCTGTCGATTTCGAGCCTCTCCAGCACCACCACCGGCTTGGTGTCTTCGGACTGTTTCGTCCGCTTAAAAATGATCTTGGGCAAGCCGTCCTTGTCCGATTTATTGTACTGCATCTGTACCGAGTAGTCCACGCCCTTGGGACGCTGACCGACGTCGCTATCGCACGTGTCCGAATCGTCGACGGGTTCCGTGATCCGTTTCTTCTTCGCGGAACTCTTCGTCTTCGCCGTGCTATGCTGGATCATGCGCTTGTACGAGATGATCTTTTTGATTTTTTCCATTTCCCCCTGGGTCATCTTCCCGTTGTTCAAGAACCTGCGCACGAGGCTGGATTCGACCGTACCGAAGACAAACGGCGTGGTGTCCTTTGGTTTTAGCTTCGGCACGATTTGGATATTGAGCGAGCTCAACTTCGAGTCGACCGTCTCCTTGTACTCCTGCAACTTTACGTCGTTGGACGGCTGACTCTGGTTTAACGATTTAGAATTACTCAAAAGGCCGCTGAAGTCTCGAATAAGGCATTCGTCTTTGGGTTTACCGGCTATGGGATGTTTGGGCGATTCCGTCGAATCCTCCCACTCGGACGATTTTGCTACTGCTTCTAATTCGCAGCTCATGGTCCGCTTGAATCTCTCCTCCGGTACCGACGAGGGCGAATCGACCGACAGGCTCCGCGAAGGTTCTATTCTAACTTTCTTCTCTTTGGTTGCGTCATCCGTTCCCATCAATTTTCGCTTCCTGTTGTTATAATCTTGCAACGAGATCTTCCGCTTGGCACCTGCCGCAGTAGTATTCTCCTGAATGAGTTCCGACACGCTGGGCACCATTATGGAGGGTTTATGTCGTGGGTCTTTGGGGACGTCGTCTCCGATTCCCGTGGGAGGAACTACGACGTCACTAAACGATACGCGTTTCTTAGTACCTTGCGGTACTTTTGGGCTAGGTTCCTCGGAGCGAGCAGCTTTCTCTTCTTTAACAATTTGGCCCTCCTCAACTTGCTCCTTGGGTTGTTCGTCGACATCGTCGGTGAACTTTCTAAAGTTCCTCGAGTCTTTCGGCTTTTCGGTCTGGAGCTGTTTTACGGAAACCTCGCACCCGATACAGCGAGAACTGTCACGCTCCTCGTGGCCGTTGTTGTTGTCGACCTCATGCCGCCGCTTCAACTCTTCCTCCTTTCTCCTCTGTCTCTTCAGCTTTCTCGCTTTCAATAGTTCCTTGAAATCGGCATACTCGTCGTCCTGGCCCTCGTCTTCTTTCATTCCCCCTGCGGAGCTCTGCCTGCCCGGCATTTTCTCCTTCCTCTTCGCCGCCAGTTTTCTGCTCAACTCCTCATGCTCTTGCTTCACTTGCTCCTTTTCGTTTATCCTCTTGGATCTTTTTACGTTGATCCCATCATTTTGAGCCGCTTTGGTTTGCGGTTGGGGCGATGCCTTCGCGTCCGGTTCCGATTCTTTTTCCCCGACGGCATTATCTTTCTCCACGTGCCCGCTAGTGGTCACCGAAGGTATCTGCAAGTCGTTGTCGTAAAGCTTCATTGCCGCTTTGGTGAATAGCGTAGGCGTTGAGCACTCGTTTCCGCTGCTGTACCGTCTAGGTTTCACTTCTTCCGACGAGTGTCGCTCCTCGCAATTCGTAGATGTAGGGGACAAAATCATGACCTCCGTTTTTGACCCGTAAACCCTTTTGGGCGGCACGTTAAAAAACGGCTTCACGTTCGAGTCATCGCTCGATTTTACCGATTCGGAGACTTGATGCGTCGCGTCAGCCCGGCGAGGGTCGTCTTCGTGGCCGTCTATTAGGAGCTCTTTGAAATTTTCCCGTTCTTCGAGAAACTTGGCGGAAGCGATCTCCTCCATTGACGAATCGACCAGGCTATCGAGTTCCTCGGATTTCAAAGGGGGTTCTACCTTGGAGTCTTCTGTCGTATCGAATAACCCTACCACGTCCAATGGATCCGCCACTATCACCTCGTTGGAAGGCTCCAACGGGATCAAAGTCTCATCATCAAGGGCGCTCTCGAATTCTTCGTGGGAATCGAGCTCAGCGTCGTTTTCGTCTAACGCTTCCAGCTCTTGCTGATCGCGAGTCTCGACAACGCTGTCTACTAAGTTAGCCTTCCGTTCGGGCATCTCCGAAGATTTATCTAGCTGTTGCATAGCACCTTGCGTCTGTTTTCTATTCAGCGGGGATTTGGGCTCTTCACTGACGACATCTACGGCCTCAATGTTAGCAGATACTTCGTAGTTGTCGTTATAATCGACCACGGTAGACTCCGACAACGGCACCACTGTGATGGTCTTTTTCCCGTTCACGGCGTTGACGTTGATTTCCATCAGTTCTCCGGCTATCTGGACCAGAACCGAGCTCTCCTCGATTCGAATTATACTCCTGTACTGTACGTCGCTGGGAGTGGATGCCCGCGTGCCAGCGTCGTCTGGCTTCGCAAAGACGTGACCCGAATCTTTCTGCGTTTCTGTCACCTCCAGGACTTCAGATCGGATCTTTTCCATAGGTTCCGCTTCCTTTTCTGAAATTCGTTCACTATCACGAACCTTTGCGCACATTTCCTCGGCTTGGTTGGTATCTCCTTCAGAGGTGCCACTTTCCTTGTCACCATTAGACTTATCCAAATCCACATTATTTTCTTCCACTTGGGTTGTATCCTTATTAGCCAAGGAGTTATCCGCTATTACGTCACTATCAGTTTCTTGAATCACTGCGTCACATGATGGAGGTCTACTTACGTCCCTCTCTTTTCCTTCGCTACCTGTCGCCTCATCCATTTCGGTATCGGTATCATCCATCCCAGAACCCTTATGAGCATCGTCAACTAATTCGGTCTCGAGCTCCTTTTCGATCTTTTCCTTTTTCAATTTAATTTCAAGGAGTTTTTCATAGATCTCGCAGCCCTGTTCCCCCGACGAGAAGTTTATCTCCTTCTGAATAAACGACCTCACGCGAAGCAAGCGGTACAAGTTCTCGATTTCTTTCGTGGTCCGGTTACTGATGGCGTTACTGCCTGAGTTATGCATGATGTCTTCGATTGAGAATATTCCCGTCCTTTTTTTCGGAGGCGGAGCTCCGTCCGACTCGTCTGGTGTCGGTTCCTCCGATTCTTGTGAAACTTCCTCTCTCGTCGTTTCCTCTTCTTTAGATTCGATACTGTCTTCCCCTTCTTCGTCTTCTTCGTGGATTGGTTCTACGTCTTCTGCAGCTCCCGACTCCGACTGACTACAATTGGGTACATCACAAGACGGTGATAATAGCTCTTCTTCCGATCTTAAATCACTTTCATTTATCGCTTTATCTTGATCATCTTGGGAGTTTGCATCAGTAACTTCTTCAGGGGATTCCTCAGTTTCCTCTGCTGTTGAGATGTTGCGTTCATCCTCCGTGGGTATCGCACTAGCAGCACCGGGAAGGGCGTTACCTTCCTCAACGTCGGTGGGGCTTGGACTAGCATCTTTGGTCTCGGTCTCCATTTCCGCGAAAACATCGATGATAGGCATGTTTTTAAATCCGCTGGGACTCTTGTTTTGGTCAAGCTTATCGTTAAGAACGTCCATAGGCACGTCTTCTACGTGATCCTGCAGCTGATCGAGGTTGATGGGCGAACAGTTCTTGTCCACCAGCTCTTTGGTACTTAAGGGACTTTCCGTGACCGGTGCCTGCGCCTCAATCGTCTCCGAAATCGGCGGAATCCTTTCTATAAAGTCCTCCCTACACAAGGGATTGCTCCCAGATTGAATGATGGTGTTTTGGTGAATGACCACCTTCCTCTCTGGTTCTTTTTCGCACAGAGTTGAATTGCTGGCCAGCATACAATCCGGTTTGGCCGAGTCTATAATATGAAGGTTGACCACTCGATCTTGAGTATTGGTGTCAACAACTCCCTCCTTGTTCGCCTCTATAATCCGCACCACCCCGTTATCGATACTGACGCTGTTTTTAATAATATACTGACAATGTTCCTGTATCAGCGGCATCGCGTTCTCGGACGTGACCAAGTTTTGGAAATATGGCACATCCGAAGGGTTGACGAAGTAAACAGTCCCGGCTGGCGGTTCCTCCCTGAGTCTGTCCTTGGCGCTCATGGTATTCTCCAACGAGCCCATGTCGCTCGCGTCCTCCTCGGTGCCCCAATTCTCTATAAACTTCTTAAGACTCTCCGAAGGGCACACCCCGCTCTCCTGAATTTCCGGTATGTCCTGCGTCGGCATCTGATGGCCGGGGATGTACTGTGCGGGACGCAGGTGCTGCTGAAAGAAGTCCTGGTGGTGCACTCTTCGGTGCTGATAGTGCTGCGCGTACTCGGGGGCATTGTACTGAGGATAGCCCGCGGCCATCCTCTGCGGAATGCCCTGATAATTCAACGCCAGGTGGGATAGGTTTTCCGAGTAAGGTCGTCTAGTGGGCGACATGCTCCTCTCCATGTGAACATACCTCGACGAAGCGGGTGAAACGGAGCCCATCTGCGAAGGTCTGCCGTAATTGCAGGACGAATTATAGTTGGCCGGGTACGCGTGAGGAGAATTCATCTGGTACTGGTTGTGATTCGCGTACGGCACCTGGGAATGGATGGGCCCGGGGTAGTACCTTTGGCTCTGCTGATACGCGCCTCTCTGATCCACCGAATACGCCGCCTGGGTATCTTGCAGTTGGTGCTCGGTCATTATAGATCGCGCCATCGTTGGCTGGATCTTGCTCAGCTTGGAGAGGAACGGGTTTTCGGCCAACGGATACTTACGAACGTTCTGGGGGATCATTTGGTTGTACTTTTGGGCGGCGTGGTGTGCCGCCATCGGATGAAACTGCTGCGCCTCTTTGGGATAATATTGAGATTCGGGTTTGTAGCCGCCCGGGTGCATCTGCAAGACGTTAAAGGTCGAGCGGCACTTGCGACATTGATGACATGATGACTCATCTTACCTGAGCTGGCGGTTCCTTGTGTAAGAACTGAGCATTTTCAGGTGAATAGTTTTGATTGCCGGCCAGGTGGTGTTCGGGATACACTTGCTTCATGTGGGGCTGTTGCGGGTTGCACATCTCCATATATTCTTTGGGTTTAGGCTTTTGTATCACAGACGTCGATATGGGACTCGATTGCTGATGGTGGCCGTCGGCCAGATCAGGATATTTCATTTGGGAGCTAAAACGAGCATAATATTACAGTGATCTGTTACTTACGAGCGTCGCTCAATAAGTCTTTTGAAAATCCAAGAGATGGCGAAAGTAGTATAAATATTTGCTATTAAGTTGCACTCCTAACTAGCCAGCTGTTAAAGTTTCAGCTGTATGAGTCACACAGATTAATTGTTGGAAACATCTTTAATTTGTCTATAAAGATAACTAAAAGTGAGTATCGAAGAGTTGTATTTGAAAGGGTTAACGCAGAAAGAAATTTAAGCAGAGTTGGAAGTTTATGGCACATCTGTTCAAATCCGGACGCCCTGTGGAAGTATCTACCCCCGCAATGATTTGAAAAATTCACGACATTACTCTAAGACTAAGTGATTTCCGAATCAAAGTGTGCGTAACAGTTAAAGCTTATCGCAACATGTGAAAAAAAACTTAGGCAAGAATACACGCAATGCTGTGGCCGACTCTGAGGCTGCTTGGGTGCTTTTTCGTCGCAATCTTGATAAGTTTCTGCGTCGATATATAATTGTTGATGAAACTTGAATAAACTACTACAATCCAGGCAAGCGGGATCCAAAGGAAGCGAAGATTATCAAGTCGATCGTGAGAGTTATAGCCTAGCTCTTTTGATTAGTTTTGGATAATTGGGAAAAGAAGTAATGATCGTATGCGTCATTATTGGGAAAAAGCATCCTCCTGTATTATATTTGGCCCCAGTAACTATTTCTTGTTCAGATTGATAGAAATGGCTTGGTGGGCAAAGATTTACGTCTAGCGAGCAAGTAATCATCTTATTTAGAAGAACTAAAGAAAACAGATTATGTTTTTTCCCAATTTCTTTTGAAGCACATCTCATAGAATATTTTGTACCGTACCCGTACTCCTGAAACTGATGCGGCTGGTATCGGTAGCAGTCGTTGGGTGCCGGTGGATAGTGGTTGTGGGGTGCCACTCTGGCGACATGCGCCTCCGACACTTGCTTCTCCAGGTTCGGTTTTTCTACATCTTTCTTCCTGAACTGCCGCAAGGAGCTTGTCGTCGATCCACCGGTGGGCTGAAAATTAAATTGCCCGCTGTGATAAGATTGGTTGGTTGGTTTGAGATTAGTTCTCAAGTAAATAAATAAATTTATAAAGTGCAATATTGTTCAGTCTGAGTCAATGAGTTCGACTGCTATAGACTCATTTTTGTAATCATGGAAGACGCAGCAAAATCTCAATTATTGGTAAAAATAATGCTTAACAACAGCAGAAATTATTCAGTTTCTGGAAGGAGTATTTGGTGGCTCTGCAGCATCCAGAACATCACTAGAAGACGATCCACGCAGTGGGCGCCCAAGCACGTCGGCAATTGAAGGAAACATGCTTTTGCAACCAGAACAGAAACTCAACTTGTCGTCAACTTTAGGAGGTGTTAGTTCGTTGCGGTGATAAATTTTGGAAACTTATTTATTGGATAAATTGGCAACAACTTATTTTTGTGCGACCCGAAATGGAAAGATTTTTCTCCGTCATCGTAAAAAGTTACCCAAGTTACACTTATTCATTAAAATTGAACATTCAACGAAAACGTTCCCTTCACAAACAAATCAAAATCGGCAAACACAAAAAAAATGAAAATGCTACAGGTAGCATTTCTAAGCAGTCTGATTGGCCAGTTATATTTGACAACGGTGCTGAGAGTTCTCCGCTTCTTCGATTTCTCGTCGAACAGTTGATAGTTCGATTTGAAATTTTAACTGAAGTAAGATAAATTAATAATTCACTGGGGGTTTGGGAAAAGAAATAGGCGAACTCCTTTGCTCAGGCTATCCCAAGAATGACAATCAATAGGAATCCAATTTTCCCATCCCATTTTTCTTGTTACAAACATTAAGGCGAGACTGCACACGGTTCAAAAATTCAGAAGTAAAATCAATAATGTTGATACCACGGCAATGATGTTACATTTTGACTATTAACAAATTAATAATTCATTCGGGTTTTGAGAAACGAACTAGACGAATCCTTACGGTTATATTTCGTACTAACACAGTTAAATGGAGATTAGGTTGGAAAACTACATAAAAATTATGGGGTAAACTCCCAGAATTTGGGCGACATCCCTTGCATCTGCCCAAACAACAGTTCGCTTCTCCTCCTTCAAAAATGATTAATGATTTTAAAATGTTTTCGCCCAGATCCCAGTGAACAAGAAATGCCAACAACGCGAGTATACATTTATCTTCGAAGCTGGGTTTTCCCATGGCATCAAATAAAAACCCATATTAAAGACCTCCGAAGATGTAGAAAAGGAACGACGATCTTGCGATTACGTGAAGGTCGCGAGCGTTAGGATTTTTTTTTAATCGTTTCTCGTAGTAACCTTGACAATGTAACGTGTGTAAGTTACATCACGAGTCCGAGGATTTCTACTCATTAACCTGACCCGACGTTGTAATTTATAGTGCGAATCGAGTCAAGTAGCCGACACCGTCGGTTTAAAAATCAATGTCGATGGTATTCCTCGAAATTGTGGCGGATACGCGGTCTACAGAGTGTTCAATTTGCAATGTTTTGTTTTCACGGGAGCTAAGCTTTTTCGCTAGTTTATGGTGTAAACAGTTCTCGACAACATCTTTAGGGGTCACTTAACCCTAGGCGAGACCTAAATTCAGTAACTAATCATCATTTGGGCACAAAAATAATCTAAAGAAACAAAACATTTAACATTTTGATACAATCATTGTTTCTCTATTTGATATATGTTCATCTCATAACCCAAAGTCGAGACCAAAGCTTAATATCAATAAGTCAGTGGAAAAAAACAGCTATATGATATGTAGAAATATCTAAAATTAACAATGAACAAGGTCGAGGGGAGACTGGTTTGCTAGACTACTAAGGGCGATAGTTGTACCTCAAACCTTGAGGATGTCCTTAAAATCCCTGATAGGCAAGATGCAATTTCACAGAGCAACAAAATGCTGATTCCAAAAATGCTCGCAGATTTTTTCTATCAGCTCTTATTTTTGAGATACAGGTTGATATTAATACATACTTAATGGTCAAAATAAAAAACTATATTCAAGTTAGCCAAATATATGTACATATATATGGAATTGAGCCCCACAAAATATTTCTATACTAGGTTTTCTCTAGTTTTGAAAAAAAAAAACGAAGAATGGCAAAATTCTATACTTTCTCCTTAAGAAGCAGAGTGGCTATACACAAAATCTTGGTGTTTATTGCTTTCAGGGCAGCAGTGCTAAAACTGAGCACAAATGAGCACAAAGATTGACCTTCAAGAGATCAACCAGGCGTTGGTTTCGAAAGAAAGAAAAATCTTACTTCCGCTCTTGCATATCACGCTTTGGACTTGACATGAAAATTTCCTGAGATTGGCAAGGAAAAACTAAAAACTGATATATTCGATGGTCCTCAAATCACGCAATTTGTTCAAGATCCACAATTCACTACATCAATGAATGAGAGTGAATCTAACGGCTGGTGTTCATTTTTTAAGTAGTACAAAATTTCCTTGGCAATCTTTAGAAGAATTAGCAAAAACTATGCTTTCAAATTTTAATATTCCAACATGCGTATAAGACTTCACTAACTCGACAGCCACCAAGATCGCTTTCCAGAAAATTTACGTTATTAAAAATATGGAAGATCAATATAGAAAGTCGTATAAAAGAAAATTTTTGAATAACGAATGTACATAAATCTAGTTCTTGAATTAAATACGTAAGTCCGTGTGTTTTTCTTTTTTTTTTTAAATGGCAGTAATATAACAAATATAACCTAAAATACAGACAAGTTAAAAATATAAAATGATAAACATAGTCTATCTCAAAAACTAGATCTGATAGACAAGAACAATTGAAAATCGCAGGCACAGGCACTATGGGTGGCGATAGTCGCAATGTTTTGAATATTGTGGTGGCGGCTAATCAGATTGATTCGCCTTCATCGTCAGAAAGTAGTGAATATGGAACATTGGATCATGTTAATGCTCTCCATGGCATCTTTGCTTGCTATTGCATTGGAGAAAACTCGGAGTGCAGGTGGTGCATGGAAGGGGAGGAGACCCCTTATCATCTGCTCAGTCTTCGGAACGGCCCTGATCGATCCGGACTCAGTGTACGGTATTGGGCTAAAGGAGTTGCTGACCTTCTATAGGAGGGACGGAATTCTGGACGCCCTCTAGAGCGGTCTGGGTGCACAACGGGCCCATCTGGTGGCCTAAGTGCTTGGACGCCCGCGAGGGCGCCCCCCGTTAATACCAATACCAATAATAATGCCAATACCAATAGAAGAACAATACTTGAGAATTACGCGGTACATGTGTTACTTTAAATTGATTTTAGATACTTTATATAACAAAAATATTAATATACCAGCAGTTTATTGTTTCAGACTCTTTTTACCTTATGTTCCTCGTTACCCTGTAAGTATCTGTTGGTTGTCAGTTTCCCAAAATGATTTTTTTGCGGATTCTCTAGATTTACTGAAGCTACGCAAACAGTTCCTCGAATAGCTTATCAGAGAACCACCGTAAAAAGATGGACAATTTCCCTTTTTTTAACATGTTAATGTTACCGCCGAACGTGTCAGTAATACTCAGCAACTAATCATCATTTGGGTACAAAAGTAATCTATACTCTTGTAATGTATTGATTACAAAACTCAAATGGTGATATAATAGGTGCCAACCTTAAATGACTTCCGTGTGAGTCACTAATTATCTCCAACCTATCATATTCTGACTCAATTTAAATCGATTTGAATGCCAAAGGATGGTGGCAGATCCCAGAAAGGTCAGAACGTTTGCTTTAGATTGTCTAACAATATTGGAAAATATGACAGGTCGCGTTATATGCAGACAGTCTGAAGTCTTAATCTTTCAAGATACCTTCACTTCCTCAATGATAAATAAAAAAACAGTTGCTACTTTTACTTCAAATCAATCAAATAAATCAAAGTAACAAGATGAAACTAAAAATTACAAGAAAAATCTTGAACCACGTAAACATCTCGCACAAAATATACCACCATTTTTAAAGGAACGTTATTAATTAGAAAAAAAATAAAGGGTCCGCTGTTGTAAATTTAGGAAATGCTCACATATATACGAGCTAACACCCAATCTATCCGGATCCAAATCATCCAGCGTTAAGATTATATTTTTAAGTGCCGTTGACATATTTACTTTTTAAAAAGAATTCATAACTTTGCACTTGGATATTATTTTGGGCATATGGTGCTTAGGAGGTAATATGGTAGCTTGTGAAAATGCAAGGGACACTGCCCTGTGGTCCGAGTTGACGAACGTATCAATATTTCTGTCCTTGTACTCATTTTGCATTAAAATTATTAGACAACTATTACGACTGAAATTTTGGCGTTTTTTCTCACATATACACACAATAATCCTAAAACCTCAATTTTTTGATTTAACTGATATGAGTATCAGTTTACTCACCGGATAATCCAAACGAATTAGTATTTGAGATACTTGTACTTGACACATGGAGTCAAACTCGACATTAGGCTTAAGGGCATTGCAGCAATGAATTGGTATATTGTGCAACTACTTTTTATTAACAAATTAATTAATTAAGGTGTAATTTTTTTTCATTTGTAGCGGAAGCTATGGTTTGTTGGAAAGTTCCATACAAAACCTGTGCGCTTTGAAAATATCTACAAAATGACATATAGCGATTTAAAAAGAAACTCTCCGCTCCAATTGATCGTATCCAGCTTTTTTTTTAAATGAGTTATTCTATTCGTTTATAACAAAAAAATTAACCTTAACTTTGAAAAAAAATTGAATATTTTTACTTACTGTTATGACTCAAGGAGCTTTATTTTACTGGGGTATCAAGCTTGTTAAATATGTTCAACAAATAAAAAATGGCCAGTTATTCCCAAAAACTTTTTTTATTTATTAACCTATTTACTCAAGCCACAGCTCATTTTGTAAGTGGTTTCGAGGGGCACACTTTTGAATGAAACATTTTTTCGAAAAACCCATAGCTTCAGCTGAAAAAATTATTTTTCACAATTTAATCAGACTCATCGACAAGTAGCTGGCCTACTTTAAATCAGCCGGCCTATTCCTCTAAAAAGCTTGCGTTTTTTAGGGAGCTCAATAGTACTAATACAAGAAAAAACACAACTCTTAACACGGCATCAATATAAATTCATCAACTAATTAAAACGAAGGTAAGAACATTTATTTTTTATATCGATTTGTTATCATAATGATACCGCTTGTACAATGGCCGGGAATGTCTCCTGATTGTTTAGATTGATGTCGATGAATATGTTTTTTTTTCTTGGTGGTGATATTCTTAGTAGGTTATTTGTTTGGAATGTCCAACGTGTTGCATACTATACTTTTTCTACGACCATTAGTTTTTGGGTACATTTTCGCAAAACAACACGAATACATTCACTGACATGACTGTCAGAATTGACAAACGTCAAAATTCGGAGCATGGGAAATGGAAAACATCCGATTGCGGTAATGTCCGGATTTGTGGGAAACGAAACTGACGTGGTAAAGTGGCGCTTCCCCCACGCTAGATCGGGGTATAATTGGGCATTTTAAAGAAGACAGTAGAAAAATATAATAATATATATTGTTATAATGCAATTATATGGATATCAATTGCCAGTATATATGAAAAAAGCCATTAGAACGGTGAAGATCTTTACCGGTTCTGTTTAATTAATTTTGTAACAATTTCATTTCATTGTATTGTTTTCCAAATATGTGGTGCTTTACTACTAACTTCTCTTCAATGCTCATAGCTGATGTAATGTGGAATGCTACAATCAAAACACGGACAAACTAAAGACAAAAGCGATTACCGAACTCGTAAAGTTCTATTTTCAAAAGTAACGAAAAACATACAGCAACGCGCTAGCTTTAATGGGATCACTACTTATTTTGCACGAAAACTATTTAATAAAGATTACAACTGAAATTCTGATTTATTTCTCACATACACACGTTCCTTTAGAAGTCCATCAGCACGTCCGCTCCTATCCCTGCCGATAGACTAAACGAAAATCTAAAACCTAATAAAAAAAATTCAATTTATGAATTTTTGATCCTACCGATATGTGGTTCAGTATTTTCAGTTAACCGAAGCTTAGGTATCTCTAGTTCATCGTTCCATGCTTATTATAACTTTATGGGCAGGTTGGTGGGAATGACTTATAAATTTACTCAAAAAACGATCGATCGACTTTACCATATCTTAAATTGCCCGAGTGTTACTGCATCATCTTGGTCCGCGTGTAGGGGTGGGAGGGGGATAACAATAAAAGGAAACCAGTAAACAACCCGACGAGACGTATTAAAAATGCACGTAAATTAAACAAACCGCAAACTCACGCGCAACCACGTCGATCGACGCGCGTAGACTAGTGGGAACACACGTGGACCCGTAAGTACTCACCGACGGTTCCGATGGTACGAACGGCGGTGGGTGGTGGGCGCCGGCAGCTCCAGGGCCATACTGTCCTGCATTCTGCATTAGGCACTGCAACAACAAATAAGGGACGGTTAACGGTTCAACCCCGTACTAGAGTTTTGTTTGGCGATCGGTCAAAGCTTTATTCATTTGGAGGTTACATGTTTCTAAATAAAACCCATAAAACAGTTTTATATACTGAATGATAGGCGGATATGTTCTGATTCTGAATGTCAGAGAGTTATAAATCATTACTGAACTGTAAAACCTAGTGCTCTTAGACGTTTTGCTATGAGGATTGTCAAGGTACCTGAGAATGGCAGGTAGACGACCTCCCTGCCAAAACTTTATATTTAATAACAATAATAACAAAGGAATTTAATTGTAGAAAATAAACATAATATTAAAATTAATGTGTTCTACAACGGGCGAGATTCAGTTCATCCGCCTTAAAGAGACCTCAAAGACGGATGATTGTTCTTTCGCCTAGTACTTGGTAAAGGACTGCGAATATAATACGTAAGACTCATGAAATATCGTAGAATGCGCGGGACCAATTAAATAGGCAAATGCTGATAAAGTCTAAAATTTATATTAATTTGTACTGGTACATGTAAAGTGCATAATTTATGCTATAGATTTGTTGAAGTACTATGTGGATCTCAATTTGTGATCCGTAAACAACCCTACGTTCCTAATAATTTTAAAAAATGGGATACGGCAAAAGGCGTAAATTTCGAGACATCCACAGAATAGTGAAGCGCCGGCAAGACCAACCGCGGTTAAAATGCTTGACTTGTTACCACGGTATGTTCGAGAACTAAGAAAATTGGTTATAAGTTGATCAGCTTTTGTTGATACCTTGATCAGAAAACCTGAGAAAACGGAAGACTGAAAGCAATATTTTACTAATACACCCACAATGTTTATTGTTAATGCCGTGGGACAAGTTTGATACTTGCAGAAACCCGATTGATGAATGATAATATGATTTTTTCTATATGTGACTGAATTTGTTACTCAATTATTTATTTCAGGATTTTGGATAAAGTGGAGAAAATGCATATTGGTCTGCGTTTAATAAAAGAGTCTGGGTTATTTACTTTTGGAGAACTATAATTTTTGCTTTTCTCTAAATGACTGGCGATACAGAGTTTTTTAAACAAAAAATAACTAAATGAGCGATGTATGACAGAATAAATGGTATACATAAAATATTGTTTTTCAAAGAAACTTCCAGATGCTACTGTAATACTTTTTACAAAACTTCTGGATTCCTTCTTGCTAACGTATCGCCAATCATCCTGTTGCCTTCTTTAGAGCTTGACTGAAACTGGCTCGCATTTTACTCTGTACCTGCTTATATACTGTTTGAGAGGGGCGGTGCTAAATGAGGGATGAATGACTGATTCCCATATTGGTGACAGGTAAATACCTGAGTCGAGGTTAAGATTGCTCAAACAACATGAAAGAGCCTTGAGACAAATAAACTTATCAGCAGTTGACGAACACAATAACAAAACCGGACATAACATTTTGTTGGATAAAACTACAATTCTTAAATGTAACCAATTCTTCTTCCAACAAAATATCCGAGAGTCTATAGAAATCTATAATTAACCTAACAGTCTTAACCGCGACTCAGGTCTTTACCTGTCACCACTCATTTAGCTCCGCTCCCCCTCAAACAATATATAAACATGTACAGAGTAAAACGCGAGTCAAGCTGTGAAGAACCAAACAGGATGATTGGCGAAACGTTAGCAAGTTCGACTCAACAAAAATCGACGCAGGAGGGGTCCAGAAGTTTTAGAAAAAGCATAAAATAATGGTTAAAATTTCAGTCCCATCAACCCCAATAATTGGATTTTTGATATTGTTTTTAGCGAAAAATTATTGAAACGTGTTCGAATACGAAGGGAGATGGACAGTTGACAAGAAAGCGACTGGTGTGGGTAACCTTAAAGGAAATGAGTTTTCGTTACGAAAAAATGAAAAATAGAAAATCACTTTTAATGCAGGAGGAGGAAATTATCAGCTGATGATGACTATATTTTCGAGCAGTTCCGATAGTTTCAATGGGAAAACAGGAATATCTACTATCTGAACAAAACTTGGATAAATAAAAGATAAAACATGACAGGATAAAAATTTATACGAAGTTCGAAGCAAGTTTTCATATAATAGTGCACTGGAATAAAAGCACTCTCAGGAAAAGATACAAAATTAATAATTACTCACATTGGTAGCAAAAATGGAGTGGTGGTGGCTTCCAAGCATTTCAATCAAAACAGACTGGAGGCTATCATAAAGTCGTAAATGCGGCTGAAGTTTTTACAAATACGAGGTGCCACCCAAGAAAGTCCGAAAAAATACCCACTTATTATGAAAAGAAAAACATCTCATCGGCTTACTTTAAATAAAAAGCAATTTCAGAACGCTATGCTGAAAAAGAAGCTATTGAAAATTGTAAATTTGAATAAAGCTCTTGTTGTCATATTTGCAATTCATTAGTTGATTGCCCTGAGTTGCTAAGCCAGCTGAACTTTCATGGTCCTTCAAGGACTATAAGGGCATCACCTGCATTTCACCTAGTAACTCCGAGAACCAATTTTTCGATTAAATGTGTTCTCTATCAGTTGATGAAATTATTTAATGACTTCTGTAATGATACTGACGTTTTTTGTCTTAGTCTCTCATGGTTTACAACATTAATAAAACGTAAATTTTAAATAATATAATGGACTGTATGTGTCACTATTACTTTGCTGGAGTGAATATAGTTGATGACTTATTATAGTCATAGTTTTAGTTTTGAAGATGAAATTTTCTTCGAAATAGATTATTATTATTATTATGATATCTATCACTATGAATTAAACCCCGTAGAAGGGGTATGGGCGAAAGTAAAGGGTTTTGCAAAGGGGAGTAAACACAGTGAATTGTGATAAAAGCAATAAGTGCATCGAATATGTGATTGAAATAGAAAAAAATCTGAAAAACTTAACAGTGTAGTTATTAGTTTTCTGGACACCAACAAGTATAGTTCGTCCAACTAGCTGTCACATGACTTTCTTTACCAAATTCGTCTTTCTATTGCACAGTGTGATCCTAACTTTAAGATGTATTTAAATCAGAGCTTCCGATATCACTAAAACGAAGTGTTTTTAATCAGTGTGTTATAAGTGCCGGTTATCCCTTAGGGTGAGGAAACTCTATAACTCACTCATCGGCTAAAAAGTTCAGATCGACCCAGCGAAAAATGAGAGAGTCTCGATCGGACAGAGCGATCAAGACAAGAGACAGTGGAGAAAAATAGGAAAGCCTATTTTCAACAGTGCATGCAAAAGGCTGATCGATGATGATAATAATTGGAATTTATTTGAACAATACGATAAAAGCTTCGAGTTGTCAATCCTGTTTAATTGCAAACTTATATTTTATTACTCTCTCACATTAAAAAACATAGTATATTGTACAAACGTATCTATATGCCACATAGCTATTAGATAATACACACAAACTTTATTTTCTGAATTGACAATTGGTGCAAAAATAATAATAGCATTGTCAACTATAGTAAGACTTTGAAGTGCTTTGAAACTTCATCGATAAAGAAAACTCCGTTAAATTAAAGAAAAGGAAGAATAAGCAAGAACAGTTATTGTTTATGTGAAATTTGTTAATATGAAGTCTATAAGTGTGCAAAAATTCAATTGTTTCAAATACAAAATTTACTTGCCAATTTAATTAATTTAAATGATTTTTGTTTTTAGGCAAAATGGCGCGGCTAACATTAAGCCTAATTGATTGCCTGAGATATACTGGAAGAAGAAGAATGTCTTAATGTAGGGCATAATATTTGGTTGAGTAATATTTCAACTCTAGAACATATTCCGTTTGCCTTCAAGCAAGCAGCCTCGCATAAACTTTGTAACATGTTTTTGTACACGGAGTTTATGTATCCATGCTGTAGTTCTATTCATTAATTCTTTTCCAGATTTTGTTTCCATATAAACTTTCTGGTAACATTCTAGGGAAAATACTAGATTTGAATTTTGCAAATAAAAAAAAATAAATTTTTGAAAATCAATACGTGCACAACGAGCGTGGGAATACAGCCCGACACCAGCAAAGGATGCAATGAAATTTAATATTAATCGATCTTAACGTAAGCAGTTTTGTTTAGGAACGTCCGATCAAGTGTATTCGAGGAAATGCCTGGGACAGAAGTATTTCTTTGGTATTCGAAGACCAGAAAATTATTATACTTCAATGAACATTACAAAATAACAAAATTCCGGAATAAATCTAAGTAATTCCAACGGATTTCCAAGGAATTATAAGTAATTAAAGGAATTGCGGTGTACACTCTTCCCTCTGCGGTTTACCATTCTAATTATTATTACCTATTATTACACAATCTATATTTACTCAGTTTGTGTCCTCGTCCATTATTTTGAAAAATATTTTGTCATTGCAGACTGCAGAAAAAAAATTGTTTTAAAATAGTTCACGGTCCATGGTCTAAAAATATCTAAATATTATTATTATTATTAATAATGCTTTTATTTTCCCAAAAAAGGACTTCAAATTGTATTCAACTCGTGCTAGAAATTGTATTTATAAGATAATGTATGCCGGATAGATAGTTTCATCGCCATCACATGATAAAATTATGGGCAACAACCTAGCGGTACGAAATTGTTTATTTATAGGCTGCGTTCTATAACTGTAACAAAGTAACGAGAGAGGTAAATAGGAGACATTTTCAATTAGCACTTCGATGCGTCGTGGTAGATTTTTTCGACAACAGTTTAGACCCGTGCTAAACAGATTTAACTGTTTCGATTCGCTCGGATCATCTAAAAGGACGGTCAACAAATCTGAACTTAAATTCGTCTAAATTAGCTAAATGCGACGCTGTTGATTTTTTTCTTAAGTTCATGACGACGACGCGAAAACGGACAAGCAAGTAGGAAAAAAGTATAAACATGAAAATACCGCCGCCATACCTCGGTCTGATGAACTATTTCAAGATGGCGGTTCGATAAAACAAACTCCTGTAA